GGAAAGAGGAATGTGGTAACAGCCTTGTACAAAGTGTGCAGTTTGGCTTAATAAACTACCACATCTTCAGAGTGTGAAGAGCTGCTGCATTAGACCCATGCAGAATTTCCCATGTGTAACCTCAAACCCACTTGAGATTAATCTTAAGTTCAACTTGACATGTTTGCAATGCACAGCCCATATATGAGAAAGTTTCTATCATGAAATGGGGCATTGTGCAGCGCAAGGATCCCTATGTTGGAGCTGTTAATTTCCCTAAGCAGTCAGGACTTTCATTTCTAGGGAGTCCTTGTTCTTATCGTATTTCTCAGGGGTGAACTTCACAGTTTGAACCCATTGAGATAAAAAGGTCTTTCCTTCCAAACCTATAAGAATCAGATCTGTAGTTCTCATCATTCTAGTTCTACTGCTGCTATCCCATACACTTATCTTCCCTATCTGCTGTATCTGTTTTCAGGTATCAAAGGAATTTCTCATACTATGAACCCCTGCTTCCTTTCAAACTAGATTTGTTGATACAATTTTTTTTAATTATTTTTTTTTCCTCTTTCCTAGGAGGAAAGATGCACCAGCATCTGTCTTCATACTTGGCTGCCTGTAGCTTTTACAGTTTGTGGGGTTTTTTCATATCATGCTAAGATCCTTCTCTTAAAAGTTGCTGTCTTCCTAGCTCCTCTTTCAATGGGTCCTCAAAGTTTTTTATAAGGAATGTAAACAATTAAAACATGGAAAATTAGAACATCAGTATAGCTGTCAGGATGCAGTTGGTACAGCAGTTTGGCTAAACTGTTATTATATATTCATTTTGTTGGCATACCTCTACTTACAATTGTCCTCAAGAACAGAGCTCTGACTGGAACATGACAGACGTGATTTCTGTAATATACCAAAGTCATTACCTTTGGTCATTTTTTACTATCCTTGATTCTCAGTGACCTTTGGAAAATCAGTTCTTAGATGCACTTTCCTTCTCTTAAAAAATGTTAGAAACCTCATTTATAAAACATTCTAAAATATTAAGGATAGTATGTGAGAGCTGAGTTACTTTCCAGTATTTTATTTATATGTATATGCCTGCATGATCTCAAAGTTAGTCTGTAGCTCTGTAATAATGAGAGTAGTACTGAGATATTGGGAACGTAAAATTGCCAGTACCCAAAAAAATATGATCATATTTTTATGTGTGTGCAAATTTGTGAAATTGCATTGAAGGAAAATCCTGACATTTTTTCTTTGCGAATGCTTGTAATTGTTTATATTATTACAGAATCTCCTGACTATGTGTCATGTAACAGCTGTTTCTACAGAAATCTAGTTATTATTCAGGAGAATAGGAACAACATAAATTCATCACGGCAATTTTTGTAATTAAAAATTTGATTCTGGCTCCTTCTTGGCCTAAAACTGTGTCTTTTATAATATTTAATCCCATGGTGTTGATGATACAACAAAAACAATTTAATGTTAAAGAACAAATACAACATTAAAAGACAAAATATCTGTATTTTTTATTTGTATTTATTTTGTGTGGTATTAAAATGTCAGTTTCTTGTTTGTCAATTTCTTGTTCCACCCCAGAAAAGCATGGCTTCATTATAGCTCTTTTCAGATTTTTTCACTGTAATATTTGAATTGTCCAGTTTTTCCATTTTGTCATTTTGGTCTTTTCTTTTTATTTTTCTCATTGTTTTTATTTATTGTCTTCACAGTTTCCCCCTCATAGCATATTTGCACTGCTATAACATATATGCACATATCTCAATGCTCTTTCCTTTACATCTTTGGCAATGGTCTTCTGTGCTTAAATCCTAGATTTAAGGCTAGATTCCTGCTTAGAAATCCTTAGTTTTTCTTCATTATATTTAGTCCTTGATGCTTTTCTTTTCAGTCTGCATTTTCATCACTGCTTCCATAGCTGTATATGGATCATTCACTCTTTTTTTGATTCATGCCAGAGGATGGTAGGAAGAGATTATGCTTTCCTCTTCAGATTTGAATACTCATGTTTCTTAGGGTATAGGCCCGGGAAGATTCACATGGACAAAATTTTGTAGGATTTTCTTACTTCTTGGACGAGGTAGCTGAACTGAAGTGTCTCTGTCTTGTAGAAATAAAATAGAGTATTAAGCAGAAATGAAAGGCTGTTCTTATTAGTAGTAACACGTGCTGTCACCTTTTGGATTTAGCAGTACAAGATCTGAAATATTTTTCTTTTGACAAGAGAGACATCACAGATGTTAATATTAATGATTAGCTCATGGATATAGTGTAATTTACTACCAATAGGGAATTATATTTCAAACTGAGTCCTTGAAAATACCCTTAGGTTTTTGAGGATTTATTTCTGGATAATGTTGTTGTATGATTGTCATCCTCTCATTTGTTGTAACTTGAAATATAATTCTCCTTAGAGCAATCACTTTTTTGAAATTGCTTTGTCTTTCTATTGATAAGTACATTTGCTAAGAAGTGCACATGGGAGCGTTGCACTTCTCTGACAACTTTAGTAGGATTTCTAGGTGAACACTTAGACTTAAGTTTATTGTGACAGTATTGGTGCTGAAGGAAAAAAAAAGAAAAAGAACAACAAACCACAAAGTGAAACTGTGAGCATTCTCTTGCAATGAAGCTTAATATCACAGGCTGTGTCCATTACATAGCACTTGGCCCTGTACCTCTTCTGGACCCTGTGTAGTACCCAATTTCTCTTCTGAGTTTGTGAAGTAATGTGGAAGTTGTATAGCAGCCCAACAGAGCAATGTTATCATGGCAGAAAAGGAAGTTATGTGCTTCAGAGTGCAACATAAGGCTGTTTAGGGATGCTTAGGGATCCACAGGCTTCTGGAATAATGTTGAAGCACTTTGTAAAGTGAAAAGAGACAAATCTAGTGAACTCTTGTCCATACTGCCTGCTGGGAAGGGTCCCTGGTATATGTTATTAACTACAACTGTGGCTGGGTGTCATGTGAGGGAGTCCTAGTTGGCCCAGACCAACAAAATACCAGGGAGAGTGCTAAAATTTATCAGTGTGAATAGTCAGTGTTCCAGGGATCATACTCTCTCCTGCAACCGCAGGAGATAAAAAGATAAATTGTTAGAGAGGAGCTCTGCTAATAACCTATAACAAGTTGTATTTCAAGGAAGGGAAGCAATTATAAATTGGATTCTAGAAAGTCAGTGGTGGTTTTCATGGGTATGTGGAAAATTATGATGAAGTTTTTTCTGAGTGTACAAAGGCAGAAGCAGCAGTTATCACCTTATATATATACTGAGAACATTAACTTTTTATGCAAAATATGTATTTGTTTGAAATTCCTCACTAATCACAGATATGCGAGTTTATTTCTACTCTTGGGCTGTATCTAGATCAATCTGCCACTGCTTTGTCAGCTGACAGGCAGACCAGCTGAAGTTCATTTTGTATTCTGTGGTATTTTCCTTCTTTGAAACACTGAAGATTTTATGTATCCTCCAGCAGTATTAGAGAAGTTGAGACTGACAGTCTAGCATAAAAAAATGCAGAGAGTGGCAAAGAAGATATTCTTTAAAAAAAAGCAAGTTGAAGATATTTATGCAACATTATGTAGCGGAAAGATAAAACAGCTGCTGACTTACCCTCCGATTGTACCAAAATATGCGTTGACAAATTAAGAGATATATCTACCTCTTAGTAATATGTGTTCCATAAGATTATTTGCTTTATCTAGGAGTATTTTAAAATAGATCACTGAGATTATTCATGTACAGCATTTCATTAAAAGTAGAAGACGATACATGTATCAAAGAACAAGCTGGTCTTAATTTGTAGAATTAGATTTAGAATTTTTCTGTGTGTCTTAGAATTAGACTGGTAGAGCCTAGTAAGAGCTCCATGGGTGGGCACAGTCTGTAGTTATGGCCTTAAGGCCAATGCTCACTGTACTCTAGAGGAGATTTTTCTTTATATAACAAGTGTAATCTGAATTTCAGTGATATCAAGCTTGATTTCTTCAATCAATTAACTCAATTATAACACAGGACTGTTTGCTCTCTAGTCTAGTTGTGGAATAATGTGGAAATAATTTATTTCTTAACAATAAGGTAATGAAAAAAGTCAGCATTACTGAGAATACCACAGTGCATTTTTATAAGGTTTCACAAACCCAGATTAAGGAATATGAAGAAGAGCTAAAGTTTAAGAGACTTTTTATAAAAATGAAAAAATTATTTCTGGATGTCATATGCTATGGGTACGTAGGAATCATTTTCAGAATCCCATATCAAAAGAAAATATTGATTTACTGTGTATCTTTTAATCACCTCTGTGTTGAGGTTCTTCTTTAAGTTACTGAAAGCACATTTTTATTTTGTGGGCACGTAAGTGTAGTATCCAGCAACTTTGTAAGGAAAATAGTAAGTTTTATCGTATTGGCTGTAACATATGCCAGATGGATCTGTAGGTAACTTAATGGTGACAAAATCTTACATCACTATCTCCCCTTTCTCTTACTTACCTTTAACCTCTACCAGTTTAGAACATGTAATATCTGCTCTTTTCCCCTTCCTTTACCTTCCCTTCCTCCATCTTTCTTCCCTTCTCTTCTTCCTCCTGACCTCTTCACAGCATGAGTCTTTGGTCACTGTTCTTTCAGATATTTTCTGAAAGCTCACTTGATCTATAAAACCTATCACAAACAGGGAAAACATGAAAGTCTTAGTTTAACTTTTACTAAAGACCTTTTAACATTCATCTGAGAATCAAGAGGATTTTATGTTGTGGATTAATTCCACGGTATATATTCTCAGAATTCTCTCTAATTACTTTCCTTTGCCTTTTCCTTTTCCTCCATTTGCTACAAAGGTTTCCTGCCAAGTTTTAATTCTATATTTTGCATTTTCACAGATTAGGACAGTCTAGTTAATGCCTAATGCTCCATGCTTCTACTCAACAGGAAACAATCAGTCAATAGCATTTTTAATTTCTTCTTCATTAAAAATATATTCTGGGTTTGATATTGTAGATAATACAGCCAGTATCCTGACCAGACGAAGGAGATACAGTCGAACTACTCAAGACATCTATTACCTCCCGGTTTTGATTTCTGATGATGGAGTACCCCCTCTCAGCAGCAGCAGTACTCTCACAATTAGAGTTTGTGCATGTGAGAGAGATGGACGAGTGAGAACTTGCCATGCTGAAGCTTTCCTCTCCTCGGCTGGCTTGAGCACAGGCGCTTTAATCGCAATCCTGCTCTGTGTTGTCATTCTTCTTGGTAAGGCATTTTCAGTTTTAAGTAATACTGTCCTTCCACTGGCTCTCTGAATGTGATAGGGCAGAAATTTGTAATATATGCTTTTGAACCAGAGGCTGTCTGGTAGTAGGAAGTAATTAGAAGCACATAGCTATGATTAGAGGGGAAAGGTTTAGCTAAAATTAATAGAGAAAAATATCTTTAAAGTACATTCATGAATATCTGAAATCTACTAGAAATTATTTTTCCGAGCTTATCAAGTTATTAACACTGCAGATCTTTTTCCTGAAATTTGGAAAGATTTCAAAAAGCCACTGGCTCTAATTCCATGTCTAGAACAGTGTAAAAATGCTAGAAAAGAGATGAGAAAAGCTTTTTGAAATGCATTACAGTGTAAGAAGCACCATTAGCACTGTACAAGAACCATTTCTTAATTACCTTTGTGGGATAAGATGATAGTAATGCACAGCATAATCCACAGGGGCAAGAGACATATGAGACTATAAGATGACTCCATTAGATAATGCCCTTGCAAGTGTTTTTTCTCTTGACTACTTTTTTTTTTTTTTTTTTTTTTGCACAGGCCAAATGTTAAAAATGTAAACCTATTAGTTTTGGTTTTGGTTTTGGTTTTGGGTTTTTTCCTGGCAGAGGCACAACTTGCTGGGTACATATCTCTGTACTACTCATGTGCCTTTCTTATAGAGATGGCAAGAAATAAAGAGAACTGCGGTGTGACACACATAGGAGATTTTGAGGGATTTTTTTTTTCTGAAGGGTCTACATTTTCTAAAGATTACTTTCCTCACAGCTTACTCCAGGACTTCCTTGTCAGAAAACTATTTTAAAATGGATAGTAATAAATTTAGCTTATAATATTATATTTTATCATACAAGACTGAATATTCATAAGAGATAAAATAAACCTTTTACATTCCAATTCAATATATATGCTAAATATCGCTTTTAATGAAACACAGAAAGCCCTTAACAATGCTTCTGAAAAATATCAGCCCGTGTTTCTCATTTCTCGTTTAACTGAAAGAATGTTATCCCCTTTCATGTCCTTTATGAGATCCTTAATAATCTTAACTAGTGGATTTCATTATTGACTCAAGAAACACCAGCAGTCCCTGCAAAGAATATACACAGTACTAGAGTGCTCTATACTGACTCTTTGGCAGACAAAGCTGTATTGGAAGTTTGTAGTTTCAGTACAGCATTATTAATTTTCACCTTAATTTTGCTTGTTGTACTTTGGCATGTTGCCATGTCGAAACACAGCTGTATGGATTTCATTAGTGCTTTCCAAGCATACAGTAATCTATCTTCAGGTAACATGTTACACAGCAAAGGCACTGTTCACTTGGGAATATAAGTACATTTTAATTTAGATTGAACAGGTCTGGTGACCCTTTGTTACAGACCCATGCCTGACAAAATTATCCTGAATGCCAGTATTAGCCTGAAGATATTACACCTTTATATTAGGAACTTAGTAACTGCTATTTCTTTTGCATGTGTCTACTTACTTCAGATGTAAACCTTAAACCTAATCTAATATCTGCAGTTTTCTCTTTAGCAATTGTGGTCCTTTTCGTCACCCTAAGACGTAGCAAGAAGGAGCCCTTGATCATTTCAGAAGAAGATGTCCGGGAAAATGTTGTGACATATGATGATGAGGGTGGTGGAGAAGAAGACACAGAAGCATTTGACATCACGGCACTGCGGAATCCATCAGCTGCTGAGGAGCTAAAATATCGGAGGGATGTTCATCCTGAAGTGAAGCCTGCACACAGGCATCATCCCTCTTCAAGCCTTGACAGTATAGATGTTCAGGAGTTCATTAAACAAAGACTGGCAGAGGCTGATCTGGACCCCAGCGTGCCCCCATATGACTCCCTACAGACATACGCCTATGAGGGTCATAGATCAGAAGCTGGATCTATCAGCTCTCTGGATTCAGCCACAACACACTCTGACCAGGATTATAATTACCTTGGAGACTGGGGACCTGAGTTCAAGAAGTTAGCTGAACTCTATGGGGAAATAGAATCAGAAAGAACAACTTAGCTGTAATTCCCAGAACAGAGGAGTTCCTAAACGACTGGAGATATAATGACAGCAGCGGCAACAGAAAATGAACACAGTACTTGGGACTGAGCAAGTTGTATGCAGTTACTGTAGAACAAGTGCCCTTTTCATATTTGAAACTGGGTTCTTCAATTGGAAGAAAGTAAAATTTTGAAAAATACATAAAAAAGAAGCTATTGTCCCTTCTGTATATTTTTTAATTGCTCAATAAAGTCCATGGTATCGTATCTGTAACAATACCTAAAGTAAAGCCAAGCAATGATGTTTTTATTGCAATATGCTTAACATCTCCAAGCCACAGTAAGTTTAGGGTCATGCCTGTTTAGGAAGATAGCTAACGGAGGAGCAAATCTCTTGCAGTTGGTTGTGATGTTGCATTTCTAGCTGTGCTCTAGGCCTTGTGATCCCAATATGAGATAGCCAGTTGGGTTTACAATAAGTGTGAGAGGTGTTAACAATCTGTTTCCTTTTCAAAAGGGACAATCCGCACCTATCCTCTTAAATAAATGATCCTTTGATGATTTAACCTTTTTGAATTAGCAAGTTGCATTGAGATGATGTGATTTCATTATGTCCTTCATAATCCCTTCATCCATAACCAGTTAACACAGGGAGGGCATTTTTAGTTGTTAGCCCAAACATGGCTCTAGCCCATAACCCCGCACCTGCTCTGCGCTAGAGGGAACTGTTACTTCTGGTGTTGTGCTTTTTCTTTTTGTCTTTTCATGGGCATATCATTCATTTAAATGGAATGGGTCCAAAATACTCTATATGCAGTGAAGCAGATGAAGCATAGGCTCTTCAATAAAAACAACAACAGCATCATTAAATTATGAAATTGTTTGGTTCACTGAGCTTCATTTAGGTCAATAGATGAAGCTTTTCAAGTCTTTTGCTTGTCTGAGTCCAGGAACTACAACAGTCAGTTTACAACACAGAGTTCTAAATCATAATGTCGCTATTTTCATGTGTGACTAAAAGCAAAATAGAGCTGCTGGTAAAACATTGGAATAGACAAAATTGAAACAAAGAGAATGAGATTATGATGTTTTTTTTCTTTTTATTTCACTCTACTGATAGCTAATTTCTCCTAGAGTTCTTTCCATGTAAGCAGAGCTAGCTTTTTTTCTCCTTATTTCAAGCGTCATGGGAACAGGAACATTTTAAGTCAGTAGAGGAAGAAAAAATTTAAATGTACCATTATTGTGGTTCCTGTGGATTAAATAAATTGATTTCTTATGTTTGTAACTTTTTAGCATTGCAGAACTGCTTAATAGTTCTGTTTGATGTTGCAGGCTTCTTAACACCTAATCCATCAGATTCTTATGTTTTCCTTTGTTTTGATTGAAACATCAACCTTTTGTTTGTCTTTCTTGTGATAAGACTATGAGAGGACTAGAAGCTCATAATATCCCATGAAAGATTATTACCTTATAAGGCTCACCATCTATTACAGTCTTCTGCTTTGAAGAAAATTGTAGCTTTACACAGGGAGGTGGACTTTGTGCAATATGCATTTGATAAAGAATCTGTCCAAAGCAGGAGCTGTGTACTGGATTTTTACTCTCTGGGATGGTGTAGAGTGGTAGAGGTCTGTACGCTTTACTAAATTCCTCCCTATGCATTTTAGGTGCCACTTACCTTCAGCTTAGTGGAGAAGAGAGTACCTTTTGATCCTCCAGGCAGGATATGTATTCATTGCTGACCTATTGTGGACCACACAGGTGAATCAGATTATTAAGCTTTCCCTTCTTTACTGTATGATAGTGTAGGTCCTAGATACGACTGAAACGTCTCATCAGTTTTACTGTGAGGATTTTTAAAATATTTTTTTTAATTAACTCCTTCCTGAGATGATGTTGACTGCTTTTGATGTAAACAGCCTCCTGGAAAAATTAGCAAGTAGCTTTGTGAGAAGCTTTTCAATCTCTAAAATGTTTGAAAGTTATTAGTTGCCCTGTAGTTCCTGAGTTGGTTTTTACTACACCATTTTGTTTGCAACTTGGAAATTGTAGTGTTTCCCTTTCTATCAACATCTGAACCCACAAGGCAATTTAGAGAGGAAAAATCCCCAAACCCTAAAATGTTTTGCTGATGATTTGAAAGTAGTTTAATAATGTGTATTCAGGTTATTTTATTTTTTAGTTTTTACCAAATACAGAATCTTCTAGAAATGCATTTAAGCAGACATCCTCATAGTAAAGTTAAACAGATGCTTTAATGCAGTGAGTTATACTCAAGGTGAGAATGGTTTATGTGCTGTCTTTTTCAGGGGTAAAGTTAGAATACATTTCAGTTTTGTCCCAAATGAAGGAACTAGTAGAGCAGGATTTTACAAAGAGAAATTGTATCTTGATTTAGATAGCACCTGCTTTATGTCAACATCTAAATTTTTATATTGTACAAGTAGAATGATAAGAAGAAAATCTTTCAGCATTAGTAGTACCATGAGCCATAATACTTTGTATGACATCTGCATGAAAACTGCATTCATTGTTGTATTATAGTTTTTAGAGCCAGGTATTAGTTATCTTTATGTCTGTTCCCTCTGACCCTACATCAAAGCAGGGAAAATCAATTGCATTTTCTGCTTTAAGCAGTGTTCCTGCCATTATTTTCTTTCCATTTGCATCATAGAGCATTCAGACTTAAAGCCAAGAAGTACCATGACATAAGCAAACAATCACTCCTTGTGTTTGTTCTGCTTAAGTTAATGAGAGAAGGAGGTCATATCTCAGAGAAATAAAAATCCCTTTTTCACCATTCCTGGTGCTCTCGTTGCTGCTGTACGGCACGTGCATTTTACCCACAGCCCCAGGAATTCTGAATCCTTTAAAGCTCTTCAGGGTTATTGAGACTGTGCTTCAGTGATGCTGTGGTGTGTCCTGTTTGGTATGTCCTATCCACAGTGATTGCCAAATGTGCTTTTTTATCATGATCCATCTGCATGCTTGCTATGCTTACTGTTTTTTGCTCACACACCACAGTGCCGTGTTGTTTGCATGACAAATAGCAGAATATTAAATCTTCAGGGCCATAGAAAAAGGCCTCGCAGTGCAGAAAGAACAGTTTTACAGATTTCTTTTCCTGATCCCACAAATTTTTGTTTTGGTCCTTTGCGTCCTTGGAACAAATTGAAGTACATTTGAGAATTTAATTGTTAACATTGATTGAACTGGAAGAAAGTTAACACTGTGTGCCCTGGAGGCCATGAACTTTTTGTAGCATTGCTGATTTATACAAATTGTACATTCAATGAAAGTATTGTGGGAAACTCCTAGTTTATGGTTAAGTCTGATTGTATAGGCTTTGCTTAAAGCTTTCAAGGATCTTTTGTGTACTCATATTCTCAGATATGTTCATATTAGCATAAGTAGTGATCCTGTTGCTGCTTAACAACTAAATGCAGAAAACTTCCAGTTTTATTTAAACTGGAAGATACTGAGTAAATTTAAATGACACATACAAAATAGTGCTTAGTCTTTCTGATATGCAATTTTATTTCTGCAACAGCTATTTAACTAATAGTACATTTACACCAAATTATTTAGTCCCATTCCTTCAAATAAACCCTCTTTCTTCTAATGGCAAAGTCACTCAGTATGCTGTAATCTTAACATACCATCTGAGAAAATATTGTATAAGTATTTTATAATGTAAAAAAAAAATTGTCAACCTAATACCAGTCAAAAATGTAATTTAATACTCTATAAAGACAAGCAAGAGCTTGAATTCAACTGATGTTCGATTAAGATTCATACACTGAAAACAAAAATAATTTGTGTGTCAGTGTTGCCATTTATTACATACACATAGAAGACTGTAAAAGTTGAAAGTAATTTTATTTTGTTTTGCATTTTATTTTTGCATTCTTCTTAGAAAACCAAATTAATTGTAAACATTTTTGGGTTTGAATTCTAATTGATGCAGTTGTTTAAATTGCGAGTTCTGCAAAAATTGTCTATGCGAAAATATTTAATGTTTAAAAGGAATTACAAAATTTCTGTGGTCTAAGGTTTTGTAAAATCATGATTTAGAAAATCTAAATTTTGGAACAGTTTTGAGTAAACCAAACTTATAGGCTCACACAAAGGGTAACAAAGGAAATGTTCTAAATGCAAAGAAGAATATGAAATTATGCTGCCTAGGGTTACTTTGTGGACTATAAAGTGCTAAGACCTTGTACTTGCAGTAGATACAAATGGCACAGTGCATTCTAAGGAACATTAGGAGTGTGTTGCAAGTATTGGGCCATCCTATTTTTCCAAAGTCTCCAAATATATAT